GCCCGGCCCCCGGACCGGGCAGTATTTAAATTTGTTTAAATATACTCGGGCCGGGCCCAAATTTTTTTTAAAAAAACACCCAAGCCGGGCCTATATTATTTTAAAAAAACACCCAATCCGGACTATATTTTTTAAAACAGCCTATATTTGAAATCGTTATTATTAGCTATAAAAATCAAATATAAATATAATTTATTTTTAAAAAATCTGGGCTGGGCCTGAAAATTTTTTAAAAAAAGCCGAGTGGGGCCTAAAATTTTTTTTTTAAAAAGCCGGGCCGGGCCTGAAATTTTTTTAAAAAAAGCCTAGGCCGGGCCGTAAAAAATCTTTAAAAATAATCCTGGCCGTGCTTTGCAAACTGTACTTCTCCAGGCCTCTGTTATTCTTCTTAAAAAAGAGAAAGTTCTCTCATTAGTTTACTAATGGGAAGAGTTTATAAACCCTTTTAATACATTGGGAATTTAATCTAAAATGTGTTTGAAATAATGCAGAGCATCCATAACATTTTTTGGGACTATACCAACCATAGTTAATCTTATAAACATAGTTATTCAGCTAGTAAGGCATCATAAGATACTTTAACATATACATAATAAAAATCTAACAAATTTTTTTTCTATCACCATCTGAAAAAGGTTGGGAAGGCTTTTGTGGAAGTTATTTGCAGATTAGTAAGTGCTGCATGATGAATTAAACATTCATTTATTTGGGTTATAAATGTATCTGTATTTAAGATATACTCTTCTACTGATCCTATATTAATGTTTTAACGATGAGCTTGCCTTACTACAAGTCGATGGAGACTAATATTAAACACGTATAGCTCTGCTTTTGACTCAACAATAAAATATGAAATTCTTCATCAACATAAGCCCTAATTTCCTTGAGTTCTGATAAAATGCTCTCCGCTATTCTCATTTTCTTAATCTAGTCAATGTCATGTTTTTGAAAAGTAATACTTAAAATAGTTGTATAATTAAATAATACATTCTAATGAGAATAAAATTTGGAATAAGCATTGTATCCAATAATTTTCTTGCTTCTGAAGAAATATTTCTTTCAGGCCATTGTGTTATTTCAGTAATAGCAAATAATTGGCTCTTCTAACTCCTTAAAAGCTGTTACTGCTTGATGGCAGAGACTCTATCTCGTTGCACTTGCAATTTCTTTTTCCCTGTTGGACAAGAAGTTTCATAAATAATTATTATATGACTAGAAATTTGAAAATGGTAGATAAATATTACGCCACTAAAAATTTGAAAATAATAAATATTACGCCGGAAAACTTGAAATCGAATTTAATTGATAAAATAACTTAGTAGATAAATGAATAAATGTAATTAAATATATATTTAATGGTTCCACGTCAATTCGGCGCGGAAAATTCGGCGCACGACAATTCGGCGCAGAAAACTCGGCGCGGCGTCAATTCGGCGCATCGTCAACTCAGCGCGGCGACAACTCGGCGCAACGTCAATTCAGCGCGGCGACAACTCAGCGCAACGTCGATTCGGCGCAACGTCAATTCGGCGCAACGTCAATTCGGCGCAACGTCAATTCAGCGCGGCGACAACTCAGCGCAACGTCAATTCGGCGCGGCGACAACTCGGCGCAACGTCTATTCGGCGCGGCGACAATTCGGCGCAACATCAATTCAGCGCGGCGACAATTCGGCGCAACGTCAATTCAGCGCAACGTCAATTCGGCGCGTATCTAATACAGTTGCAATTTATTATAAATTTATTAGTGTAAAAAAAAGGATGATTAAATAGAAATGATTTTGAATGTTGGTCATATTAATTATTTCTTCGTATTTTTTTTTACAAAAATCTCAATTTTATTTACTAAATGTGTAATATCAATAAAAAAAATTAACAACCAATATTTATACCGATTTCCTTGCTGGACCAATTTACCACATTATAAGGTAGGAGAGACTGGGGTTAATTGGACCGATTTTTATAAAATTGGCTATATCTCCTGGTTTTTTAGATAATATAAAAAATATATATGATTAGATACCTAAACTATACTCTATAAAGATTCCTTATAAAAAATTTAAGAATATAATCATTTTTTTTGAATTTTACTTTTTGTAAAAGAAAAATTTTGTCCAACAAGCCCCAATAGCGGGTAAATTAAGGCAAGTTATATATAAAAATTGAAACTTAATTTTGGTTAATTTAATAAACATTTTATATTTTTTTCATTATTAACTGCCATAATTGACGTGTATGGTTTAGCAAGCCCTGCTAACTCTAAATTTCTGGATATAATAAATACTCAATAAACTTTCCCAAATTATAAAAACTTCATCAATATTTTATTTCTTAAATAAAATTTTTAATAATTATTTCAAAAGATTTTTTGTCTATAGACGTAAACTAATAAAAACTATATTATGATAAAATTTTAACCTTCTGGTGTATTTAATTTTAAGAAGAGATTAAGTGGTTTGCCAAGCCCCGGTACCTAACCCCAGTCTCCCCTATTTTGATTAGTAGCCAATATTATCTAAGCGAGATTTTGCTCTAAATGTATGAAAAGTTTGGACTTATATCTCTAATCTTACATGTTATTATGGCTAAAATCTTAATCGACCCAAATCGGACGTTTAACAACACTAATGTTGATCCAATAAAATTCAAATTAAGACTTATTCATTTTTTAGATTTATTAAAAATCCTTAAAATAATTCTATTAATCATTTTAAATATATATTATGTTTAATTAATTAATCTATTATAAAATAATCAAAAACGAATTATCGCACAAAAGCAATTTCATGGCTATTTATGATTGGTATTTAGGATTTATGCTAAGAAATCATAATATCTCCTTTATGTCCAAAATGTTTATTAAATTAACCTAAATTAAGTTTCAATTTTTATATATAATTTGCTTCAATTTATAAGTATTATGAAATTTTTAACAATAAAACAATTAAATAATTCTATACGTATCATTATTAATAAATAAAAATGCATTTCAATTTATTATGGCTAAAAAAACCAATGATTTAGGAAGCCCCTTGAATTTGCCCCACCCCGCTATTGGGGCTTTTTGGATATTCTTAAAATTTTTATAAGGTACCTTTATAGAGTATAGTTTTAGGAGGTATCTAATCATATATTATTTTTTATATTATATAAAAAAAACAGGAGCTAAATTTTGCAAAAATCGGTCCAATTAACCCCAGTCTCCCCTACCTTATAATGTGGTAAATTGGTCCAGCAAGGAAATCGGTATAAATATTGGTTGTTAATTTTTTTTATTGATATTAAACATTTAGTAAATAAAATTGAGATTTTTGTAAAAAAAAATACGAAGAAATAATTAATATGACCAACATTCAAAATCATTTCTATTTAATCATCCTTTTTTTTATACTAATAAATTTATAATAAATTGCAACTGTATTAGATACGCGCCGAATTGACGCCGCGCCGAGTTGTCGCCGCGCTGAATTGATGATGCGCCGAATTGACGCCGCGCCGAGTTTTCTGCGCCGAATTTTGCGCGCCGAATTGACGTGATACCATATTTAATATGAGATACGAATAAATATTAACTAATATAAAATATTATAAACATTAATATTTTTGAAATATATCCGGCATCTGCATTTTTTGGCTTGGGGAGGGGGATTAAAGTATGAATAATAACAGGCAGAAAATATAACAAAACTTAAACGGATGTTATGTAAAATAAAATTGAAAATGTCATCTTATTCTGATTGACATTTTAATGATGAAATGTGTTTGATAAAAAATAACATGTTTTTTTAATTGACATTATGAATTAAAATAATTATTTAGGATATTTATATTTATTTATTGGCAACCCATGCAGACCTCTAGATGAATGGCGATTTAATAACATATAGTTGTTCGGAAAATTGTTATAAAGACAACGTCATATGTTTACCCTATCTTAAAATATCAAAACTCGGAATAAATTTTTGATTACAACTTTAAAGTAATATTTATAATTTTGATACTAATTAAATTAACTAATATAATTTTTTTAAAGTATCTGTATCTTTTTGAATGCTAAGTTTATTAAGATACAGATATTTTTAAATAATTTGTATTTTAGATACAAGATTCTTTAGAAAAGTTTAAAGATGTAAAAGTATCTTGTATCTTATATAAAAAAATATTCACGATACTACCCAACCCCGTGGTTCCAGAGTGAGGGTGATATGGATCAATTTTACTACAGAATCCAGGGGAGATTTATTCTTTATTTGCATGACGAATGGTGTATAATTAAAGTCAGGAAATATGTTAAAAATTATAATTCTATAAATTATACAATTGTAATAATATGTTGACTATATAGTATAAATAAATATAATAAATGGACAAAAAGAATATATCTTTAACCACTGATTTTATAGGAACAGAGTTACTTAAATACTTAGGTAATACGCAAGTGATTTGACAAATTTTAAAATCGAAAAAGGATCATAATAAATTATATAAGATTTATTTGTTCAAATACATCAATTTTTATAATTTGCTTATTGAGGTGTGTACCACCCATTTTTTAATACTACATAAAATGATAAGTAATGTTAAGGAGCAACCCATATTTAGGATTTTATATTTGATGGTTACCGAAATTTAATATTTAAATTCATTTTTAAACGATACAAGGTATAAGTTTTAATTTGATACTAGTTTATTATTTACAATTAGGTAGTTTTCAATAAATCATTAATATAATATAACCGTAAACCGTAAAATTAGGCCATTTTTTAAATCCAAATAAAACATAGGAGACTAAAATGTAAGCTAGTTTAAGTAAAATTTCAAAAGGAAATGCTGGGCCGAATCATGATATATTTGACATGGAATATCTATTAATAATCATTTTTGAACGAACAAGGCTGAATTTATATTAAATGCGATGCGATAAAATCGTTAGCGATTTAACATTAATCAGATGATTATTTATTTTTTCCTTATTAATGTCAATAATTCTAATTTTATTAGATCCGAGATTTAAGCCTAAAGAAACCTTAAAGATTTGGCAGGAAAAAAATTATTCGTGGTTGGAATTGACAGAGGTTCACAAGGAGATTACGGAAGGAATCAGGGTTACTGTATTGCCATTCTTCATGGGACGTAGAGTATATTTATTTTGTCCTTATTTTTCAAATATAGCGGCTCGATAATTGTAGTGCTCCAAATGACATTTAAAAATTGATTTATATATGGATAGATGTTATTAGGCGCTTCTACACAACCCTAAACCACTGACAATGCTAACCCCCTATTTTCTCCCTACCCTCCTAAATTTTTTTAGCCTTAAATTATCTCGGCCTTCCTGAATTTTTTAACCTCTGGTGTATTACAAAGATAATCTTTGAACTAAATTGACTCGAAACAACTTTTTAATACATAAAAAAATTTAATTCCTAATCAGACATTCAAAAATAAATTAAAAATAATGTAAATCAGAAATGTATTAGTATCGGACCAATATTTATGGCATCGATCAATATCGGTCGATACTTACAATTTTAACTTACACCAGTGGTCGATATTCAAAAATGTTAATTAACCTTCATAGATTTTTTAGTTTTTTTAGTGTTAATGTTTATCTTTTTTCTTTTCTTTTATTAATTTAGTTTTATAAATTAATTATAAATGATATATAAATAAAAAATGATAATATTGATGAATTTTATATCATTGCTTTTTTCAATAATTATAATGTATCGCTATTTTTTGGTATCGGTATTGGGTATTAGTATTATCGGCCGATACCGTGTATTTGCTAAAAGGTGTCGGTTCATCTCTTATATAAATTGTAGGGCTGTGCCGATTCATATATTTTTCACCGATCCGATATTTATATTGATTTTTTACCACCCCCCTTTGAACTAAATGTAATTAAAATATCTATATTTTTTATGCAAAAAATAGAATTATGCATTTAATTTAGTTTTTTTATTTCTACAACAATTAAAAAATGTTTACGGATATTGGTAGTATTAAATGAATTTTTCATCCTCCCCGTGAAATTTGAATTCCGCAGAAATCGCATTTTGCAAAATTATCTTTTTTCTTTTGTAAAATATTTTTATAATTCAGATACCATATTTAAAAAAATTCTTTTATTTGAAGTATAAATAATAAAATTGGGTTATTATATAAAAAGATTTAAAATAAATAAAACTTTGGGTGTTCCTTTCTATTTTCATAAAAGAAGTTTTAAAATATTATAAATCTATTTTAAAAAATAAATAAAATTTAAGGGGTTTTGTGCATTTGCATTGTTTAAAAAAAAATTATTTAGAAAATATTATTAATGTAAAATAAAAGTACTTACGCAAAATAATTTATACTGATATAAGATACATAATTTTGTTTGTTTCTTTCTAATACATAGAAATATATAATGTTGTATAAAACTAAAAAGCATTACACGAAGCTATATAAAAAAATTTACGAACCAGAATGATTTTAAGAAATACATGATTGTGTTCCTTAAAAGGAACAATAGTTAATATTTACTTATATGTTCTGCCAAGGAATAAGAATTCACTAGGTTCAAGTATTTGTCATTTAATATTGTGAGTTACTTAATAGATATTTATATATGATCAAAATAAATCTAATTCAAAAAAATTGGCAATATGAGTATTATATATATCAGAGACCTGCAGAGGTACCATTTGCACGGCCCGGCCCGGCTTTAAATTTTTTGGGCCCGGCCCGGATATTTTTTAAAAAAAATTTTTACAGCCCGGCCCGGCTCGGATTTAAAAATTTCAGGCCCGGCTCGGAATTTTTTAAAATTATATTCGACCTGGTATATACAAAAATTCACCTATGAGGTATTTTACCATATTTTTCAGCGAGTATTATCGCTTATTATTTAAAAAATACATTTAAAAAGCTAATATTTTGAGAATATTATATTGAATTTATAAAAATAAATATTTTGAAAATATAATCTAATTGCACAATATTAATATAATTTATTTTATAATATAAATTTTTAACAAAAGAAGATAATTGTATTATATAATATTGTAAAAAAAAATATAGAAAAATGTTGGATTAAAAACTTTCAAGACTCAAGGTAAATATAATAAATGCAATAAATATTTGACAGTTTGCAAAGTAAAAAACCAGGATTGACGAAACCCTATACTCAAGAAAGATATTAAAAATTCACAAATTATCATGAAGAAAGAGAAGCATATCTACCTTTTCAGGTTGAAGATAACTTCTTCTTTCTTCAAGAATTCTCCCAGTACTGGAAAAATTCCGCTCACAGCTTGCACTTAAAGCAGGAATTGCCAATTTTGCTAAAATTGGAAATTCGCTTTGATGAGCCGCCCACCACTCTAACAAATTATCCACCTTAAATGTTTTATCTATTATTTATGTAATTATAATATTCATCATCGGGTATTGACATATTACCAGAATTACCATCGCCCATTTGTCATAAAACGATTCAGTTTGTTTAACAACAGTCGTAATTTGACTGGTCGATGGTATTTCATTTACTTCCTGAGCCTCTTGTAATTTAATATAATCTTTTATATAGTTTTCCGTTATTTTGCGATCTGTCCCTGACTACATACGTAATTGCTTGAATTTGGGACAGAGAAAAAGAGAAATAAAATGATACTTGTGTAAAACAAATTTTTCAATTAAAAAATGCTTTATATTAAGTAAAATTTTATTTCTCCTTTTCGCTTTGAAAGGTATTACAAACTTTAAGAAGTGATATTCCTTTATTTGATTGTTTTGGTAAAATATATTCTAAAAATTTAGATATGAATTATAAAAAAATATATTAATAATACTTGAATATTGGGGCTTATTTAAGATATTCTTTTATTTGATTGTTTTGGTAAAATATGTTGTAAAAATTTAGATATGAATTATAAAAAAATATATTAATACTTTGAATAAATTTGCAGGAAATTAATAATTAGATCGATCTGTGGGTGTTAGGTAGTGTTAACCATCACCCAATATTATATTAATCATAACTATAATATAATATAATCTTATAACCATTAACTCATAATATAAAAATATTTATAAAAAATATTAAGGCCCGGCCCGGCCCGGCCCGGGTTTAACAATCTTAGGAAAAAAATTTTTTTAGGGCCGGCCCGGATATGTTTAAAAAAATTTTTTTTAGGCCCGGCCCGGGTATATTTAAAAAATTTAAAATACGGCCCGGCCCTGCCCGGGCCGGGTTTAGGGCCGGGCCTGCAGGTCTCTGATATATATATAACTCAAAGATATGCAGGCGGTATTTTTTAAAATATACACCCAGGCCTGGTTTTAATTTTTTTTTAAAAATAACCGGGCCTGGCGAATATTTTATTCCAAATATCTATAAAAATTAAAAATAAATGAAATATATTTAAATTGTGTATCATAATATATAACATTCATTCATTTAAAATATAATTTAACTAATCATTATTTTAAGTGATATTTAATCAAATTGACAACCAAGAAACCCTAAATATTCAAAATATAATACACTTTTATGGGAAAAGTTTATTTTAGATAAGCATCATTTTATCTCACTTTTTTCTCTGCCTCAAATTTAGGCAATTATGTATGTTGGAGAGCGCAAAATGAGTGATATACTTATATAAAAGACCATATTAAATTACAAGGAACAGTAAGTAAGGGAATTATCGAACAGGCGAATAGAAAGTTTGGGGATTCAAACTCACTCCTTTAATTACAAATGGGGATAAGATAATTTGAAAAGTTATTGTATATAATTTTAATATTCGTTGAAAAACGATCCATAAAATGTCGAATAGGTATATATATATATTTTAAAAACCAAGGCTGTTAAAAAAATTTTATAACCTAGCCAAAAAAAATTTTCTATGAATAAATACCGGTCGGGTCGTAGTCAGCTCGCTTAGTTGACTCACTCAGTCGGCTCGCTAAGTCGGCTTACTTAGTATACTCGCTGGGTCTGCTCAATTTTTTTAGTTTTTTTATTTATAAGTAAATTATGATTTTTGATATTTATTCTTTTACATATATTTTGTAAAACGACACCATTTGAGTCGATTTTTATACGGTTAACTCAAATGTCTGGTAAATTGCTAAATTTTAGGTTACTGATTTATGTGAACAAAAATTATAAAAAGACATTATTTCCATTTTTTAGTAAAATATTTATGTCGAAACTAAAAATGGTTCTGGACCCGAATTCGGTTTCAGGGATTTTGGACTTTATTGGTGGAAATTTTTATAACATGGAATTAATAAACCGCTCAGGAGTTGCCTCAAGCCGGAATTAGCTCAAGCTGACTTTTGAGCTGAAATTTATTTTTTTATATAAACTGCTGAGCCAAGTCGGCTTAACTCTAAACTCAGCCAGTTTTTGATTCGAAAAATTGACTTAGGCTTAAGCCAGCTTATTAAGACATATGAGTCGGCTGGCTCAAGCCAGCTCAGGAGTTAGCTTGAGTTCAATTTAAAGCCGAAATTTATCTATATGTGATTGAGACATTTTAAGAATATAATTATGTAGAATTATTGTTCTACCGAGCATTAATTATTATCTATAATATGTATAAAAGCCGTGTCACAATGAATTTAGCCAACAGTATTCTTTTAAAAAATATTCGTCCAATAAAAATCATCTTGCAAATGTTAAGCCAAATGCAATTTCTATAATGTGATTATATATTTTATTTTTTATATTTTTTATAATGATTTTATATAACTTGGGAAAAATTTTTCAAAATTATTATGGTCTTAGATGCTTGAAAATTTTTAATTTTAAATATGGGTTAGACATTGGCCTGAAATTTTTTTTTTTGAAGACATGGCCAGGCCTCTAAAAACCAAGGCCCATGCAACTTTCATATTCTGATTGTATTTTAAATGCATTATGACTTTTTATATATTTTATTTTAGTTCTCAACTACCAAAATTATTATGGTCTTTGGACGATTTGAGAAAATTTTCCCAAGTGCGTGGATATGTCTTAGGAATTTTTTAATATTATATATTAGGCATAGGTATAATATTTAGCACAGAATATTTATTATATGGCTCTTAGGTAAAAGCTAATTTAAATATATTTTTACTCAAAAAAATAGTATTCACTCTTAATCTT